TTACTAAAATTTAAATAGCGATTGATCAGTTCGTGGTGTTCCCTCGTGAGCTGTTTGAACACTGCTCACGAGCTGAGCTGAGTTGTTCGAACAGTTCAGCTCAGCTCAGCTCAGCTCAGCTCAGCTCAGCTCAGCTCAGCTTTGTTTCTGGAACACCTCACGTGCTTTGAGCTTTTCCCGAACTTTCATGGCCCTAATGATGCTGCTGCGGTACTTGAACCTTTACCTGTTGCAGTTGGTGAAACAATATTCTAGAAATAGACAATGGAAAACGTTTTTTCATCGTTCAAATCGTATCTAGCTCAGTTACTTGTGGTCCAAGGTCGATAAGTTGGACAGGTGATTCGATTTCTTCTAACTGTATTAATGTCAATTCGGGACCTTGTGGGACAACTGCAACAACTTCAAAGCGTCGAGCAGGTGGTAAAAGAATTTCATGTTCCTGTGGTACTGCCGAATGGTTTTTAATATCTTTTCCTGTTTTGCAGTGGATGCTGAATAAAGTTCTCGCGCCCCTCGATCCAAGGAATGGACTGTCATTGAACACGTGCATATCTGTAGTACATGAACTAAATCCCCACCAATAAATATCTTTGTCTCCCCTTTTATAGAAGTTTCGTTCATTGGATCTAATGCCGCGATAAACATGAATTGGAAGACTCGGCAGCATTGCAAGGGCGGATAACAATAATCGTAGGTATAAAAACCACAATTTTAGATGTTCTCGATTTTCTTCCCGAAGAGTTGAATTCAATACATAGTACACACATTCTTGTTTTTTGTTCATTTCCATTGTGTATAGAAAGATAGCTGCTGATTGATCAACAGACAGATTATCTGCCGGTGGTTTATTACACTTCAATTTGGCCCGTTCGGCATTGTTCCTAATATTTCCAACCACGTGCCCGAGAGGTTCAACAGCTTTTTCTAAAGCAACAATAGGTTTCTTTTCATAGCCAGATATTCTCGTTAACAGCCTTCGTGGATCTTCTTCAATATCGGAAAATCTTTGCCCACGTTCGACTTCTTTTTCAACAACATTCTTCGAAGCCATATTTGAAATTAGTGGAAGTCACTAAGTATTCAAAAATCTAAATAAGCAAAAAACCAGTAAACTAGAGTATTGACTTGTGGGTGTATTTAGGTGCTGGAGGGTGGGTGTGGGCGTGGGAGGGTATGGGTATGGGTATGGGTGTGGGTGTGGGTGTGGGTGTGGGTGTGGGCGTGGGTGGGTGTGGGTGTATGAGGGTGGGGGTGGACGTGGGTGTGTGGGGGTGGGTCAAGGGAAAAAAAGCAGATTTTAAGCCTTGAAATCTTTAGAAATCTCTAGAAATCTTTAGGAATCTTTCAGAGTCCTTTAAAACCTTAAATTGAGGCATGTTTCAGCACCAATACAGCAGTGAATTGTCAGAATTGAGTGACATTGATATTGACCGGATTACATATTATTGTACCGGTACTGTTACATCCCTAATTTTTCTATTAAGCAAAGGATCTTTCCAGTAAAGGGTGGGTGTGGCTGTGGGTGTGGGCATCAGTGGGTGTCAAAAAAGAAGAAACAGTCACACACGCACATACTTAAGGTGTTGCTCCAGAGATTACTCGGGTAGCCCGATATTTTGCACCCGCCGATTTCATGGTGAATGTTAATAAGGATAAATTCTATGGATCGCGTTGCATACTGTCAATTTATTATAAATGATATTTATTAACTTCTTCCTTTTTCTATAGTTATCAACCGTTCATGAACCCAGAAAAATGAACTAGAAAAGAAATAGATAGTATGGAAAGAATTCATGCTCTAACGTAGTATCATCAGAAAAGACAAGTCACTGGTATCGGAGAAGAGCTGTCTTTTAACTTATAAAGGGTGAAATCACAACGAATCCTATCTATCTGAATAAAAATTCGAAGAAATATGAAGAAAGAAAATTGAAAACAGCAAACATTCATCAACTAATTTAATATGATGTTTTGCATCAGATACTTGATCTATATCTATTAGATAAGAATCGAGAAGCATAAACTAGCTTATCCCGCATCTCTCTGTAAATCCAAGAAATATTTCCTTGAAATTAATGAAAGGAAGTAACATAGACTTACTCGATTGATTTCGATATGATAATTGATAACGATCAGATATCTAAATGCAGAAAATCAATGTCAGGTTGATTTGGAAAATTTGACTTCTATGCTAAAAGTGGTAAGATTTTATAGAGGAAATGCGCGACAAAACAGATATTACGCTGCATTTTTCTATTTTTCTGTGGTTAAGTGCACTACATTTTTTTAGAAAAAAAACAATAGCACA